AGACTTCCTTTTTTCACTCGCCACTAAGTACATACCCTCTTCTGCTTCCTTCAAATCCCTCTTCTAGAAATCCTGCTTCACACATAGGCCTACTCTATACCCTTGGCTTATCCCTGCCCCAGATTCATTCCAGCCAATTGGAGGAAACCATGATTTTCCTCATTGTGGGAATAGATCCATAAATTAGCATTTTCTAGGATTTGAAAAGTACCAAAAAGAGTCTTCTGTGATGAATCGTACGTACTTGAACAACCACCTCCAATTCTGTATTTTCAACACTCTGCAGAAGATGGTGTAAGCAAAGCCTTGTCCTTATCATAGTTTGTGATTGCTTTCTGGATATTTTGAGACAACCTTTAATAAGCAGAAGATGACACTGGGATTCCAAATGGAAGTTCTGCTACCGAACTTCATTGCTGGACCAGATGGAAAAAAAAAAACCAAACCACCAGCTATGTGACCCAATTATTATCCTAGTAAGCCTTGTAATGTATCAGTAAGGTGAAATTTTGTGTTTTTTAAAATCACTTGGTGCAGACAGACGTATTGTATTATTCTTCATTAGAAACATTTTTATTAAATTTTCCCATTTGTGGATAGGACTTGTGCTATGTCCAACAGAAGTCAGTGTAATTATGAATGTACTTCCTTTTTGATACAAGGCTGGCACATTCAGGAAATCAGAGGAATCAGATTTAATCACTAAAAATAGGGTCAACCTAAAATAAAACCGAATCTACTCCTAGTGCATGCTTTCCCGAAGGAAAAAGGAAGGCTTAGTTGGGCTTTGGAAGGCAAGATCCCCTATGCAATTCCTGGAAAATTGTTCTTGATAGGAAACATCAGTAATGACCGATAATATCAATCTGCCCTATCTTGCAGTTTTTCCTCTGAAAGATGCAGTATTTCCAGTAAACCAAAACTACAAAGGACTTTCCATGTTGTCTATTAGACAACCTTCTGACTTTGAAAACTGAGATTTCATTATGAACACATTCATTTGGAAAGATGTACTTAATAACTAGGGATGTGAACGTGTATCAGGTAAACCGGTAAGCCTTGCCCTTAACAGCTGAGACTTAGGCTATATCTACACTACAAAGTTTTTGTGCAAAAACCTGCAGCACATCCACACCTCAAGTGCATTTTTAAACAAAAAAAATACAGTAAATTGACAGGACAGAGGGCTTTTACTGGTAGAATTATTCCCCTCCTCATGAGAAATAACTCCTTTTTGCGCTACAGCTCTTGCACAAAAAGTCGAGTGTGGACACTCCGCGGGGTTTCTTGTGCAAAAAGAGCCTATCCGAAAAAGCACCAGTGCTCTGATGGCCATTCTGTAACTGGCCATTAAAACTTTCTTAAGCAAGAGTGTCCATGCAGTGAGGACACTCTCTTGCTCAAAAGCACATCGCTTTTGTGATGTGCTTTTGAGGTGTGGACGTGCTTTTGTGCGAGAAGTTTTTGCAGAAAATTTCTTCCACTAAAAGCTTCTTCCACAAAAACCCTACAGTGTAGACAAAGCCCGACAGTTTAAGGTTAACCAATGGGGCTGGAAGCAGGCAGGGGCTGCTCCAACTGGAGCACCAGAACAGCCTCTGCCTGTGGGTGCCATAGTCCAGTAAAGGCATGCAGCCAGTGTTGCCAGGTGTCTGTTTTTTTCCTGGACAGCCATTTTTTCTGGCTCCAGTCTGGTAAAAAAAACCAGAAAATAGTGGACATGTAAAATGTCCAGTATTTTCTGTTTTTCTTGGATGGAAAGCCGGCAGGCATATTGTCCCCGTCACATCTGTGTCAGGAAGTGAGGAGTCTTAAAGGCACAGTGACCCTTTTTTTTTTCCTCCTGTTTTGGGGTTTTTTTTGGTTCAACAACTTTCCTGTCCTGTCTTGGTGGGTTTTTTGGGGTTTTTTTCCCCTCCCTCAACCAAGTTTTTTTCCTGCCATGTTTGGGATTTTGGGTGAAAGCATCTGGCAAGCCAGGCCTGCCCCCTTTAGTCAGTTAAAATGTTTAACCGGTTAGCCAATTAAACAGGATTTTACATCCATATTTATAGCTGAAGTAAATCACTTCTGAATGACTTGTTTGGCTGAACGTACACTAGATTTTGTTATCTACCAACACAAAAAGTACACAGATAAAATGGGTCGCGCGACATTTGGATCGGACATACTATGCACAGCTAAGGAAAGAAATTATTCTGGACTCTTGTCAGGCAGGTTGTCAGTTCTCAACATTAAACTACTAATGCTATCACAATAACTCATACATTTATGTATACATATGGAAACTGAAGGCACCTGACAGTATTTAAAATCAGAACTTGTTACCAGCTGCTTCTTTAGCTCGGCTGAGGAACATTTATTTGGAACACGTTATATATTGCCTCTACTTGACCACTTCCGTGAAATCCAAGAATTGGCCTACAGGCCAGCTGATTTGCAATTGTATCCAGTGCCCTCTACTGGTACATATAGGTTTAAAAACCAGATCCCCTCATTGACTGGCTGCTTGTTGCCCCATGCTGCAGCCTCCTCCTGTCTGTGGGGAGTGCAAGCCAGAACTGAGCCAGGCTGCCTGCCCACCTGGCTCCAAATACAATTTAACTGCAGGGGAGGGGAGAGGGGAAAATAGGTCCTGCACAGCGGGGATAGGTCCTGCACTGGGGATGTTAAGGACTAGTCACTCCTCTCTCCCGCATTGCTGTCTCCATCAGATAGAGGCAGCAGGGAGGAAAAGGGGGGGGCTTCAAAGCAGCAGCGCCGCAGAGAACCTGGGCTCTTTGCGGTGCTGCTCCTTTGAAACACCACGGCCACGTTTCAAAGGGGCAGTGCCGCCCTATCTACTGATCAAGTAGTTGATGCAAAAATGCATCAACTGTTCAATTAGTGAAATACATGATACTTAGCATCCTTATTCTCACCCAGTGAGAGCCAGGACTGAGCCAGGCTACTGGCCAGCCTGCTAAAAAATTTACTTTCAGGGGAGGGAAAATGCATGTGGTCTATAGCATTAACCTATAAGCTTCTGCTTATCAGTTAATCAACTACACTATTACATCCCTAGTAGGTACACAGCAATCAATGCAACTAACAAAAGATCCACATTTAATTTAGTTCTCTCATTTATTCAAAGCATCTTCTTAGACACAGAATAAAGAGCCATCAATCTCCAGTCCTGGAGTGCCTGTATTGGCGTTAGGTTCATTACCTCTTGAATGGACCTTTTCTGAAGGGATTCATCTGTATGGTTTTCCTGGATCTTCTTCCACGGCCCTTTTGCTTCATGGATAGCACACCCATTTCAGGTTGCAGGCAGGGTCTCTAAAATGGGCGTACATCTACACTGCAGAGGTTTTCCGGGATATCAGAGTTGTCCTGGAAAAACTCCACCGCGTCCAGGGAATGTGTTTGCTCTTCCGCTTTTTTTTGCGGAAGTGCAAATGCGCACTTTTGGAAGCCCTGTCTTCCTCATTACACGAGGAAGAAAGGCCCATTGTAGACGGGCCAAATTTCAGAAAAGCCTCTTTTGGGAAAAAAAAAATCAGGAAAAGGTATGCAAAATGCGGAGTGCATTTCGCATAGCTTTTTCTGAAAAAAAAAAAGCTGTACTGTAGACCTAGCCTGGCTTAGCCAAGGAAACTCAGTTTAGTTTTTTCAGCTCTTTTAGTTTTACTCTGATCCTGAAAGTTTAGTGTTTTGAAGTAACTGTGTGGAGGCCTTAATAATCTTTCCTAGAAATCCTATTTACCAATGTGGAATCATCTAGATCATTTTACATGTTATCTGTTTCCTTTGCGATGGTTCCAAAGTTGAAGTTAATTTCCACTGGCTCCCTCCAGTTCTTTATAGTACTAGTTTTATGTTCAACCTCCATAGCCCCTATGTGATGCCCTACCTGACTTAAGATCAAATCACGATAATTGTCTCTTCAGTCCTGCCCCTTCCCTTCTATATTATCCCACTAACAATATTATTTTAACACAGCGGTATCCAACACACTTGGCTGGATGAGTGTGGCTAATTGTTTAGAATAATATGGCTAGTTTGCTATTAGGGATGCAATAGTGTAGCCCCCTAGACTCTACTCCAGAGGTGGGCAAGACCGCCTCTGAAGGCTGAATCTGGCCCACCAAGCTCTCTGATCCAACCCATTGCCACTCTGCCTCGCCCCTGTCCCCAGGCCAATCAAGAGTTGGGAATGGGAGGGGAAGAGTGCAAAGTCTCCTCCCCCTGCACAACACCAGAGGGAACTGCCAGCTGTTCAAAACAGCTGGCGGTTCCTTTAGATACATGCCCATGTGGAGCGGGGGGTGGGGGGGGAGGAGGGAGAGAGACTCCATGCTTTTCCCTGCCCCTAGGCCAATCAGGGTCTGTGGTCAGGAGAGCATGTGAAGTCTTCTGGGTCCACTCCTTCCAGGGTAGCCCGCAACCATTTCTGAAATCCATTAAATGACCCCCCCCTTCAAAAATGATTGCCTACCCCTGGGCTACTGCTTCAGAACTGGCTGGATCCCATGGTTTTATCACCTGATATCGACTGAACTGAAGGAATTGGTTCCCTTATGCCTATTTTAAGGCACAGAAAGTTTTTGGTGTCACAGAATTGGGTTTTATGGCAGCTGATGTTAAATTAATAATTTAGCAAGAAATCTGTGACATCAGAAGTAAATATTTTTACAAACTGTCAGTTAATAAAGGAATGCTTTGATATGCATATTTGTTTATTGCTGTAGTGGTCTAACATTGGTTTCCTACCACTATTCTAACAAGTACTGGACCTTGAACCAGTGTAATTTTCAAAACCTTTAGTTACCCACGTTGAGGTTTTTTTCTTCTTCTCTTTATGCCATCTCTGTTTTTACTTTCTAAACATATAACTGAAAATAAAAACAACAGCATCACTAGGCCAAATTAGTTACTGGTGTAACTTCACTGCAATGATGCAATGAACTTCCCCTGTTAGTCCCCCACATTCTGATGGAAAAAAAAAAAAGCAAAAGCAATAGTTCCTACAAGGATTTATTATTTCATTTGTGAACAAATGTTATTTGTGAGAGTTCATCTGATTAGAGAGAGAATCATAACCAGTACAAAGTGTTTTTCTAAAAGTCTTCCCCCTCTTTGATAAAATCTGCAACATGATTCAGAAGTGAGCTGACGTCAGATCACAGTTTCTAAGCCTGTTACGACAATGGCTGCATGCCCAGATGCCAGGAGGATTTTGGCTTCCTTAATGTTGTCACTGTTACAGCACTCACCTTCACTGCCTGACCTATTGAGTGGACTGACAATTTACACAGGAGGCAGGCAGTAGGTCGTATCTTCCTGGCCATTAGGTTTTAAACTGACAAAATCATTACAGAGGAACAAAGAAGTGATTTCACACTGAAAGTCTGAAGCAAAGGAGCTAGCCAAGCTAGGTCTTTTATGCTTGTTCGGTCCATGCTGTGGGTTGAGAAGAGAGCAAAAACCTCTGCATTTTAATTGAAAAAGAAAGCTCTTTGGTTGCTTTCATATGGCAGCTTTATGGCAAAATAGAATGCAGAACATTTACGTTTCCAAATATTTAAATAAATATTCATTCAATTAACGTTATGCCAAAGGCATTAGAAAGTTTCTAAATTTCCCTTGCCTTACATTTCCTTCTCTCCCTGAAAAAAAGACAAATATCCTCAGGTCCTTAATCTTCACTTGAGTTGTCAAATTCCTCCCAGTCTGTTACACTCATGACCTCAGAGGAAACGTCTGGGTGATGCAGTAGTCGGTCTGCATACCACTCAGGAGTCCATCTCTCTGTGTCCATTAGAATAGCCCTAGGCAAAGTGAGAACACAAGCAGCCATCCCAGAAATATCATCTTCCAACTGGGGACCTTCCTCCCAGCAGTCTCTCTCAGCTTCATAAATATGGACATAGTCCATCCGAATCCCTCGGTTGTGGGATCTGCCACCCAAGACGTAGATTCTGTTGGCTAGGACAGCAATACCTGGCTCTCCATGCCCTGCAGGTAAAGGGCATACATTTGTCCACTGGTCAGTACTTAGGCTATAACAGGAGACCTGCAAGAATATAAACAAAACACAAGGCAACTTTTTCTTTAAAATAAAATATTAAAATGTTTGCATGTAACGGGTGTCTGCCATAGAGTACAATATCGTGACACAATGAGGCATTCTGTATAAGTGCCAAAGATAAATCCAGGGTTGCCAACTTTTCATTGCTGCTCTTAGTAGAAATATCTAGCAAATGTGCTTCTCTCAGTTCCATGCCACCACACATTCTGCAAGTCAACTGCTTCCAGTCAAGTACACCTCCATCTTCCTCAAAACACTGTCTCTGAAATGGTTACACATTGCTAGTCCCAAAGCAATTAACATCTATCAAAACATGCAAGAACAACGAGGAGTCCTGTGGCACTTTATAGGCTAACAGATATATTGGAGCATGAGCTTTTGTGGGCAAAGACCCACTTCATCTGATGCTCCAATAAATCTGTTAGTCTACAAGGTACCACAGGACTCCTCGTTGTTCTTGCAGATTGAGACGAACATGGCTACCCGTCCGATGCATATCAAAACATGAAAGTGTGGAGATAGTGTAAAAAACCCTGACTTGAAAAAAATCAAAACTATTAAATGATAATTGACTTCCTTTCATCTCATTTAGAAAACAAAAAACAAAAAAACCCACAACTTTGGTTTTAATGAAGCTGCTGCAAACTTTCTAGTCTGCCACACCAGAGTGCTACAGAATTTAGATTAGCCTTGCTAGAAAAAGCATTTAGTTGCTATTGAAAGAGCACTGTCCACCTGAATGTCCACCACCCTTCTGAATTACAAGATGACTGAAGGATTAGGAGCTGTAAAGCTGGTGGAGTCGGAGAGAAGGCATGAAGGAGTGGGAGCAGTGAGTAAAGCAGTTACTGAGATGGAGGAACCTAGTAGTGAAGTGTATGTGCAATAACACCCTCCGCCCATTGAACATATGAATGTCATGTGCCTGGCCGGCAAGAAATAGCTGTGACATCATCTTACCTGGTGAACATCTCTCCTATAGCCTGAGTCATTGTTGCTACCTCCAATCACATACAGTTTTCCCAGGAGTGCAGCCATCCCATGCCAGGCACGTCTGACTGGACTATCAGCTAAGCTGTCCCAGCGGTCAGCCCCTGGATCGTAACAGTGTAGTTCCTTCAAATAATCCTCTCCTCTCCTCCCACATGCAATATACATCTTCCCATCCAGTGTGGCTCCAGCATGCGCATACACCTGCCCCATCACAAAAACAAAAGACAAAAAAAGATAAGGGGGTAGGGTTTACTTGTGTGTTTTCTCCAGCTTGAAGCACAGTAAGGCTGGAATATCAATCTCCTGGCAATATATGACATTAGAGAAAGCGTCCTCCTCTGCTTACTTAGAAGTCAACATTTGGAAGGATTCTGCGTATGCTATTATTCCATAGGTATGAAGATCACTCTTCAAACTGAAATTCAGTAAAATTGGACAGACTCCTCCACAGCTACAGAGCATGTTTCCTATTGCTCCTGAATTAGCAGCTCTTCCAGGGGGAGGGATAGCTCAGTGGTTTGAGCATTGGCCTGCTAAACCCAGGGTTGTGAGTTCAATCCTTGGGGAGGCCATTTAGGAATTTGGGGCAAATATTTGTCAGGGATGGTACTTGGTCCTGCTGTGGAGGTAGGGGACTGGACTCAATGACCTTTCAAGGTCCCTTCCAGTTCTAGGAGATAGGCAATCTTAATTAAAATATTACTGCTTTCCTCCACTGCCTTTTCTGAAGCCCTATATGGAAATTAAGTCTTACAGAAGTTTTAGCAACATTATCAGAAAGGCAGAGCAGGCTAGTAGGTAGAATTTGAGCAAGTCTTATGACCTGGGCTCTATTCTCAGCACTGATTTGTTATTTCTGACTTCAGGCAAGTAATTTGACTTCTGAGCCCCCATTTCCCATCTGTCAAATGGGAATAATACTTACACATTAGTAAAGTGGCTTGAGGTTTTTAGATAAGCATTATGAAGTGATCTTATGTTTTGTAGAAGATTAACACCACAAAATAAGTTACAGTAGGACTCAACATAGTTTCTTTAAAAAGGAGAACTAGAACTTTACTTCTCTTTCCTAAGCATCAATAATTTGCAGGCAATTATTTATTTCCTCCTTGTTTTAGAGAACTAAAAACAGCACAACGGGGCTGGTTAGGTAGAAAACTTAGAAGGATAAATACCATATAAGCAGCTGTTCAGTGACTTATATCGAATGAGCACATGGTCTCAATTTAGTTTACCAAGAGCTGATGGCCTCATCACATAAACCTTCACCTCTGCCACTCTTGTTTGAGGGTCACATCACACACTTCCACCAGTCACCCTTCCATGCAGACTCAGGCTATGGCTACACTGTCATTGTTTTACGGAAGATATGCAAATCATACTCTCATTTGCATATCTTCTTCCGATTTTTTTTGCGGAAGCGGTTTTGCTGATAAAAAGCCCCATGTAGAGGGGCCATTTGTTGGAAAAAAAACCCTCTTTTGCAAGATCCCTTATTCCTCAAAAAATTGAGGTTTACGGGATCTTGTGAAAGAGGGTTTTTTTTTCTGACCAATGGCCCCATATAAATGGGGCTTTTTATTGGCAAAACCTCTTCCGCAAAAAGAACTGGAAGAAAATATGCAGGTGACTTCTGCAAAAAACCGGCAGTGTAGCCATAGCCTCAGAGCAGTCTCAGGCCAAGGACTTAAAGGGCCATGGAGACTGACTTATCCTAACACCCTAGAGGTGGTCTCTTCAGATCAGAGTTGAAACAGGGAGGTTTGCACTATTGTGGCCCATGCTGTATCCATTCTGGAAATAGAGAGTCCTTTGTTCTCTAAGGATATGAATCAGGCACTGCTCACCAGCATGAAATATAAATGTTTATTTTTTTAAAATAATACAATTAATATTTAAAGGGAGGGAATAAAACAGGAAGACAAGCGCGTAATTTCAATAGGCAGTGATACATATACTGTTTCTGGTTCTTGTATACTGAAGCATTTCTTGTGTCTCTGCCTGAACCGGTGAAAGGGATAGAGCACTTGCAACTCTGTCTAACTAAGTCTCGAAGGTGCTCACTACCTCTCAGGATCATACTTCATGTTGGGGCTACTCAACATGTGGCCCGCAGCACCTTGAGCCACTTCCCACACTGCCTGCCTGCCTCATTGCTGTGGGCTCCAGTGGCAGCGCCTCCTGCTGTGCTCCAGGCCACATGCGCAGGAGCTGCCAGAGGTGGCAAGAAGCAGCGGCGGAGAGAGGCAGCGAGGGTGAGGTGAGACAGCTCTGTGCTGGGGCTTGGATTAGGGCTATCCTATGTCCAGTTTTTCCCCGGACACGCCCTTACTTTCACATTTTAAATCACCATCCAGACAGGTTTTTTAAAAGGCAAAAAATGTCCGGGATTTTTTGCTCTGCAAGGGGGATCGGGAAGGGGATGGCGACACATGCCTTCAATGGAATGTTTGGAGCCACGTGCCCGGAGCATTCACAGCTGCTCTGCGCACCGGCCCCAGCACCTGGAAGGAAAAGAGGATGGCTTCGGTGAGACCCAGGCGTTATCCTCCGCCCTGCTAGATTTGTCCCCAGCTCTGCGGGACAGAAAGGCCATTGGGTTAGAGCGGGGGGCTGAGGTTGCTTGGGTCTTAAATGGGGCCTGCGTGTTGTACAGTCTTGCCTTAATCTTTGTATTCATGACCGTCAGTGTGAGAGTAGCTGTTTGCATATATTTACATAAATATTTACATATTTATGCAACCACACTTACATTGCGACCCTCAGCATGTGCTGTGGATATCATTGCGGCCCCCAGGGCTTCCAAAGTAGAGTAACCCTGCATTATGTTATTTAGGAACTACTTTTCTTTGGAAAGTGTATTCTAATTGGTCAATTCAATATTATTAATAAGGTAGCATCAGTAGAGAACCAGAGAACAATCCCTTTACATGGCGATTGAAATGAGAAAAATGGAAGTGTAAAACCTCCAAAACAAAGTACTCAGAAAGAGGTTGACTAGCTTAATATTACAGCCAAACTAACCTCTGTCATGTGCAAGTGAAGAATTCATTTCCTCAATGCGATTTAATTTTTAAAGCCTGGAATTTTGTATCAGTTCAAGAGAACATTCACAACAAAGATGAAGACCCAGGGATATTTTAAGCATCCTTCTTACTGTTTTTTATCACACACACAGATGCCACTATCAGCATTTTTGGCAGTTTGAGAAGTATGCTTGAGAAATAATAGCAAAAAGCATTTAGGAAAGATGAAGACAATTATTGAGGGAGCTTATTAGTATTTGCTGGCACGTGCATTCCTTACCTCCTTCCTCAGCTGTGCCATGTACTTCCATGTGTTGGTTTTTGGATCATATCTCTCTACCTCCCGTAGGTCTTCATGGTAGTCTCGCCCTGCGACAGCATATATATATTCGCCCACAACACAGACACAGAGGTCAGCATGCTCTTGCTGTAGGGACTGGATCTGGAACCATTTGTTGTGCCGTGGGTCATACCTTAAGGATTAATACCAAACTGGGTTACTAACTCAAATCTACTACAGAGCACTAAAACACGGACATTGTCATTACTGGAACAAGAGGTCATCACCGCATAGATTTAGACCAGTGCATTCTCTCTGGCCCAAATTCAGCTTTAGTGTAAAAGTAGATGCAATTCACTAGAGTGAAAGTTGGCCATTCATGTCAAAACACAAGTAAAAGCAGAGCTGATAATCTATTCTGAAGAATGCATTAGCAAATATAATCATGTTACACAGGTCTACTATTTCCAGCATTCCTTACACCACTGCCAGGCTACTTACCATCAATCTTGTCAGTTTGCAATCATTCCACAATGTAGAGATTCACAAAGATTGTACCTGGGAACTCAAAAGGCCAGGAAGAGCATGAGTATTTGGAGCTTCTTTGATTTGTTCAGATGTTTGCTGGTAAAAGGGAACTGCAGAGGGTACCTCTGCAACCCTTACTCCTCTTAGTAGTACAAGTCTAATGCAATGATGTCATAACTACAATGCACGTATAGAGAATGTGACAGAGTAGGGGTCACTGGAAAAGCTGTGATTTGCTGAAGACGATTATCCCATTTATATGCATGTTTTTGTATCTGGACTTACACATTCAATATTCAATGTATCTGTATTTCAGATGTGGTTACATATGGGTGACGCCCTCTAGGCAAGATGCTTCCAGTCTAGATAGTTGATTTGTGAAGGGCTAAACAAGGTAAAAGGCCACTAAGAAAAACAACAGGTTTTGGGAGAAGCGTTTCCCTCCTCACCTGGTGAGACTCTCTGAGAATACTTCAGACAGCCTATGCACAATGGCTACTGTGATTCAAGGCATGCAAGAGCATGTGACCAGACCACATGATCATGAAGTCCATTTTGGTACCTGGATTTGTCCATAAACTGGGCTGGGGACTTAGCTTGGACAAAGAGTTCCCACCATATGGACAGGCTATAAAAGATGGGGCATGACACCTCTGGTATGAGGAGCAAGGCCCAGAAGTGAGCACTTGAGGAGCAGAGACAGGACTGGGAGAAGCACTGGTCCCAGGAAAAGGGATTTTTAGTCTGTGTATGGAAACTTGATGAACTGCTTGTATCAGTCAGGATGAGATAATGCTGATTTGAATCCTATTGAATATATTAGGCTTAGTTTGCATTTTTAATTTCCTATGTAACCTGCTTTGATCTGTTATCATTTATAATCACTTAAAATCTTTCGGTAGTTAAACTTGTTTTATGTTTTATCTTGTTTTATGCTGTTCTGGGTGAAGCATTTGGGAAAAAATCTCAGCTTGGGAAACAGACTTGTTGCTTGTCTTCCCCGCACTGAGGGGAAAGCTAACTATATTAACGAGCTTACCCTGTGCAGTGCAAGACAGTATAATTCTGATTTATACTCCAGGAAGGGTGCAAGGTCACGGAGCAAGGACACTGGCTGGCTTATTGGCTGTGCATCAGTTACAGATGCCAACATGCCGTTTCCCCAGCACCAGCTCTTCAGTACCATCTACCCAGCCCTTGTGTTGCTGCTCTATCAGAGACAGCAGTGGCAGTTGGGAGAGGCAGAGGAGGCTGCTGTGAAACAGCCTCTGCTCACAGTGGGCCCAAGCTCGCTGAAGGCAAAGGCTGCTTCTGTCAGCAGCCCCTGTCTCCAGCCAGCCCTGGCTTTGGCTGCAAAACCC